CAGATTGTACCAATAGATGGTGCTGTTTTCCTGTGTATTTACTGGTGCTTTCTTTGCATGACGAGAGGGAGTATTACTTTTCAGCATCTCACAATACAAGTTATTTTTCTTGTTCCTTTTCTCTTCCCGCACCCTCCCGGTCACCTCTGGGGTACCCCAGGGCTCCATCCTTGGTCCTCTCTCTCTAGGTGATGTCATCCGCAGACATGGGGTAAACTTCCCCATGAATGCGGATGACACACAAATCTACTTTGCCTCCTCCAGTTACAACTCCAGGTCCACTGATGTTCTTTCTGTCAGCTTGTCTGGCAGACATTAGAGCCTTGGTGAGTCCAAACTTCCTGCACCTGAATGTGGACAAGATGGAAGCCATACTGTCAACGTCTTCACTCCTGCGGATCTGAACTCCTCAAACTCCCTGGGTTCTCCCTCAGACTCACTGAACCAGTGCGCAATCTAGGCATCCGGTTCGACTTCCTGCTATCTTTCCTCCCTTTGACCAGGACCGCCTTCTCCAAATGTTCGTTTTAGGAAGCAGCTTCAAAATGAAATGAATTAAACTTTTTTTTCCTCAAATTCTACATATTCTTAAATATTAAGACCATTCTATATGGCATCTTAGGTCTCTGCAGTCACATTGGTCACATCCAGGGATGTCATTGAAAGTTCACTGTTTTCCCCCTCCCCTTTCCTGGATAACATTTATTTCTTACACAAATCTTGACTGCCAGAATTTTTTTCTCGGCCTCCCCCAGGCATTTTGCAATTCCATTAAACAGAGCATATAGCTTGTTATGGATTACAGCTTTAATGACAGGGTTGCAAGTGGGGAGGATGGGGAATGCCCTGCCAGATAGGATGACTGAAACCAAATTCATATTAACTTTCAAGAGGGAACTGGATAGATATCTGAAGAGGAATAATCTGAAGGTTTATGGGGGAAAAGGGCTTGTAAAGTGTATTGAATGGATGGCTCTCTCAAAGCATAGTAACAATGGTTCAGTTTACCGACTACATTTATTGATTGTGCCATGGGAGTGGGGGAGAATCTTTTTAAAAATATAGTTTATTCTTTCCCAACTTCTCACCAACATGACATTTTTGCTTCATGTTGCAAAACCTAAACATTAAGGATGGCAAACAAAATATCACACTCAACACGGACACCAATGCCCTTCTCCAGCCCATGTGGGAGGGAGCAGATCAGTTTGACAGTTCTGTGGGTTTCTTTGTAGGAAAACTGTGATAGAGAGACCTTGTGGTTGGCAACTTTGATTCCCCCTCATTGTTGTGAACACACAAGCTTTCGGTGTGTTTTGTGCGTATTGTGCATGCTAGTTGATGATAGCACAGTTCTCATTCAACATAGAAATTGAAGTGTTGCCCAGCTGAGTGGCGAAATCATCAGCAGAGGGATTGGGTCTCATTCAGCTGTTCATGGTGACTGAAGCTCAATGACTGGAGTTGTCATTTAGTGTTTCAGAAAAAAAGCGATCATCACTAGTCATATGACACATTTGCCTCTGGATGGATAACTTTCAGACCAGCAGTTTTCCAGTTGACTTAGTCTCTTGAGCACAGTTTAAGCCCTGTAGCTTGATTGTCTGCTGTTTCAATCCAAAATAATGTGTTCTTCGTATTGCTGCTCGAGTTTCAAATATACCTAATTTCAGCAACTTTGAAGTTTGCCACGTGTACATCACCTGCTTTATATAAGTGCTAATTAATTGCACGTCTGTGTTTGGTCATTTGGCTCTTTGCTCAAGTACCACACAGACGGTTTCTCTCTCTTTCCAGCCTCCGCACTCTGTTGAGTCAAGAAACTAGCAAAAAAAAACCTCCACATTTTTACCATTTATTTTCTTCTAGACTGAACACTGAAGTGCTTTATTGTGCATTGTGTAATACATGAGTTAACAGGATGATTTAACCAGAGAGAACGGGGGAAATGTCACAGCTGATCCTATCCATACACAGAGTTCCCATTTCATTGGATTTTATCATTACACTTGGAGATTTGGACATTGTTTCATTGAGTGATTCTGCCTTTAAGCTTTGTTGGGGATAGTTTAGGATTTTTGTGAAAAGAAAGAAATTTATTAAAATATTATTTAAAAAGTTCTGTATGATATTATATCTAACTCTAAGATCTAATTCTAATGTACCTCTAGACGGTAAGGTTCCCTCTGCAACATCTCGTTTTGAGACTGGAAAGCCCAAGTTTATCTAGTTTTTAATGTTGGTCTTCATTCCAAACTGTGGATTATGCATATTGTTCTCCTTATAGAAATCTACTGCACGGAACAAGGCCATTCAACCATCGAGTCTTCACAGGCTCTCAGATCAAGGTGTTCATTTAATCCTACTGCCCCGCCTTATCTCCATACCTTTCAAGCCTCTAACTTTCCTGTACATACCTGTCTACTTCCCTATTTAAACCTACAATGGATTGTGCCTTTGCACTGGCCTGAGCAGCCCACTTACATTGTGATAACCAGAACTGATCTTTTCCATGGAATCAGTGCCTGTTCATAGTATTGGGGACCCTACTCCTCTGCTCACGCTCTCTGATCAACTAACAGAGGCCTGCTGTACATCCCCGTGCCACCATTGGTGCTCGATCCTTTGTTTAATATGCCCCTATCTCCTGGCACACCCTGCCTCTATCCCCACTTCCTCCGCTCCACCTGCCTTTAAATCCTAGTTAAAACCTACCTTTACCCGGACCTATAGTCCCCCCTAACCTTTCCCCAGGCCTATAGTCCACCCTAACCTTTGTCCAACGCCAACAATGTCCGAGCTGCTATCCTACATGAAGGATGCTATATAAATGTGAGTTGTTGTTGTACCATGTTGCTTACTTCAAATTGGTTTAAGAAGGGGATACAGTTGAGAAAATGTTAATTCTAATCATAAAAGTATTAATAGTTGAAACTGAAGAGATAGGTGAAGGAAGAGTCTGGATCTAACCAACATTCTTATGGAATTTGGTTGACATGGGATTGGATATGGTTGGGAACCATGGTATTCATTTCAAGTTGATGTAACCCAAACACAATGAGATCAGCAGTTCTATGATGGCAGCTGCAATTCCTTCCTGAACTGCAGAGGGCTTCACCATGCAACTGAACATGTAACCAAAAAAAAGGTTAATTACAAATATCAAAATGTCACTTGTTTTAACGTTATTGTTTGCATAGCAGTTGCCCTTCCTATCACTGACATTATCTTCAAAACTGGGCCAAAGGCACATTATCTTTGGTGATCAGAGGTGAGCGTACAGCAGATAATAGTCAATGCTGTTTTAGACTTCTAAATATATAGTTTTGGCGCTTGTGAGGTTGTGCAGTTGCACCAGGTGCCTGTTGTTTGTATCCAAGCCTTTGTTTCAGTGTGAGTATTGTACAGACCCTCTGCCTCTATTAAGTGATCACTACATTAGCTGTTTGTTCCAATTGGAATTTCTATATTTTCTAAATCAAAATATGTAATGGACAATTAATCCATATCTTAATTTATTTCAATTGCTAATTAAATGAGGGATAATAATCCTTACATTTCATGCCAGGAGCATATCCCAAAGCACTTCACACAATGTATTGGAAGTGGAATGATGGTGTGAGCTAATTTGCGCACAGCAATTTCTTACACGATCCATGCCTGAACCACCAGTTTTATTTGGGGGATTATAGTGGGGCGAGCGAGACGGGGGACGTGAAGCAGGCCGGAGCCCACTGAGCGGAGTGAGCAAACAGAGTAGTAGGGGGTTAGGAGGTCGGAGAGGTAGAGGGGAGCAAGACAATGGAGGGCTTTGAAGGTGAGACCAGGATCTTGAACTGTATCCTCTGTGTGATGGGAAGCCAGTGGAGTCGGGCAAGGATGGGGTGATAGGGTCACAGAGCCTGGTGCGGGAGAGGACACGGACGGCAGAGTTCTGGATGTTCTGAAGCCTGTCGAGGGAGGAGTTGGGGAGGCCAACAAATAGTGAGTTTGCATAGTCGAACCTCGATGTAATGAAGGTGTGTATGAGGGTTTTGGCGGCCTGCGGTGTGAGACAGTGTCAGAGCTGGGCGACATTGTAGAGGTGGGGGAAGGCAGAGTGGGTCATGGCTCAGATGTGGGGTAGAAAGGATAGTTGAGGATCAAACAAGACCCCAAGATTCCGGACTGGCTTAGCAAGGTGGAGTGTGCACCATGGATAGTGATGCTGTCAGTGCCTGAGGTGAGGAGGCGCTGACGGGAGCCAATCAATCACCTAATGTATGAATCAAGAGGTAAAAGTGCTACCAACTGAGCTAGTCTGACTCTCACTTTCTCTTCTTTAGATCCGTCCAGTTGTTGAGCAGGTGTTCTCCTTCTCTGAAGTTCCAGAGGCTTTTCAAAAACTGGAAGGGGGTCATGCACGAGGGAAGATTGTAATTGACGGTATTGGAAGTGGGAAATGATTGTAACCTGTACAGACCATTATATTAAACTCACTTCAAGCCAGCAGTCTCAATTACTGTAACAATCATCAAAATGTTTGTTCCAAAAGGATAACTCTGATGTTGTACATTTTATTTGATAAACATGTTACATATTGCAGTGCAAGCCTTGAAAATTAGAAAACTGTCAGCACATTGGTTCTTTCCTAAATTAATAAAAAAAAGTTGTCCATCTCAATCGGATACACAAAAGCTCCAAGAAAATCAGTCCTGTAGTTCACACTTTCACTAAAGCTATTTCTCCACTGGGCGCAAATATCAGCTGATAAAAGCAAAGAATCAGGAGCTAACATAAAAAGGGAGCTAGTGAAAAGGCAAAGGCTGTGCAAACTTAAGCAAACTATAATAATAGGACATTTCACAAACTGGTTACTTATCCCCTTAACCCCAAAGGCAAGCAAATTCACGGCAGACATTAGAAATGTACATTTTTCACGATAAATGACAAATTAAAATTGTACAGAAACGTGTAGCTAAAATGTTAGAACTGTGTGCAGTACAATCATCACTTTTTCTTCTTTTCCTTCTTTCTTCCCCCCCACCACAAACACCTTCCTGGGCCTGCCAGTAATGTGTCTCGGACCCTGCTACACGGATTTTTGCAATACAGCATACCAAGACACAGAATGCTCTTAGTCATCAGTTAGTTGAGCAGCAGGCCAGGCAGTTCACACAATGTTTGTCAATATTTATAAAGGTTTGAAAATGTGTTAGGATTGAGTGACATATGCAACATACTGTACAAGCAAAGACTGCCATTACTGTGCACAGGTCTGAAACAGGCTAACAAAACAAACAGTAAGTAAATCCTGTGAGAATTTGAAACGCTGAAATACATGAAGGTCTTGAAAAGTCTAAACCAAGGATACATATCAATTTCTCCATTTTAATAAAAGATATTTTATTTTCTTAAAATGCACACAGCTATTTGCTCCAAATTTACATATTGAAGGTCTTAGATTGTTTCCCCTGACAGACTACTGCCATGCTCTTTATCCGTTTTGAATAGGGAAATATTTTTTGTAAAACTAGTGGATTTGCTTTGCGATTCCTAAGCATCTAACTTTAGCACGACTGGATACTATGTTAGGATAGTACATGTCACAACTTGAGCTATTTAAAATCATTAATATATCTCCCGTCTCCCAAAACTAGATTCTATAACAGGGTACTGTTGGAACAGATAAATTATCAAAAATTGTAACAAGCTTTGAATTCCAAAATTATTCATAGTTCTGAATATTAGTGTCCTATCGACAGTTTTATAAAACAGCTGTTATTTCAACCCCCATTGAAATTAATTTGTAAGAGGCACACCTGAGCAGCAAATGGAGGGACAAGATGGAACAAAGTCTTTAAAATTATGAAGGATTTTTGATAAGACTGTTTTCCATTGGAATGCGAGTCAGGAAGGCCTGATAATTACAAACAGAGAGGATTTTTGTTTTACACAGAGGATGGTTAAGGTAGGATCCATAATTACCTTTCAAGAGAGAGCTAAATAGATGACTAAGACAGTAAATGTGGGAAATGAGTAATAGGGAAAAACAGGTAAATGGGACTGAATGCTCTCTCAGAGTAGCACAGCTGTGATGGTTCCATGATTCTATCTCCAGTAATCCAAAGTGTACACTGATGGCACTGGGGTAAGTAAGGCTGACTGGGTAATGGAGAACACTATATTGTTCACAGAAGATGTCAAAGTCACTGTAATCTATTATTAGAGTTTTATAATCAGTTCTAAAACTTTAAAATAAATCCTGTGGTAACAGACAAAGTTTAACATTTGGTAGCTGAAGTTACAGCAGGTAAACCCAAGACCAACACATGAAGTTAACTTAAAAGGTTGATACTAAATCAGAATTAGACACAAAAGAGCAGCTAATTAGAGCCCAGGCACATAATAAAGGAGGCAATTTAATTTACCCTTTCACTATGAATTCCAGTCACCATGAGTCCTGAAAATGGGTCACAAAGTTTGCTTCATGAAGTACAACCCTGACAGTGAAGGTAGACCGATTTCTCATGAAGTTGAGAAAGTGCCACAAGTCTTTCCAAATCTGTATGAGAAGAATCACACGACTTCCAGGTCCCATCTCTGCGTTGGCCGGAGTTCATCAAAGTTGTTAAGAATGGTTTGATTTTGATCATAATGCTGACCACCTGAAAGAAAATACAATTGCTATCACAAAATACACAGTTATTCCACTTTACATCCTGTGAAGCGCTTTGAGATGTGTCAACAACGTGATAAGGTGCTATATCAAATCAGGATTATTGTTATTTTTTATTATTATTAATAAATTGAGGAAAAGGTGAAGTCTGCAAAGCTGGACTCCAAACTAACCATCAAACCTAAAAACCGTAGCACATATTGATACGGCCTTTTCCATAAAACTTTGGAATATTAAAGCACTTAGGGTATACATTTTTTAATATAAAGTTCCTGAAGAATATTTTATCCAGGCTATCTGAGAGCTGGTTTATAGGCACACAGTCTGGCCCTCCATTATGTGACCCTAATTGTTCTTTTTTTTAAAAAAAACTTTGAATTGATTGCGTTGGGGTATTGAATAAGAATGCGACAAACTAAACCATTGATTTGGCGAAAAATAATCTGTCCAGTTGAATAGAGGATCTATCTACATGGCAGAAAAAATAATCTATATCCTAAAGCTTTCTCCACATTCCTGAAATTTGAAATGTGGTAACTTTTTCTAATGACTCACAGTACAAGGATGGAGGAAACGATGCCTGTACAAACACACAAAATATGTGAACAATGTTCAGGCAAGAAAGAGCCTTTCTCTTCATACCTAAGTCTACAGATTTGTTTTTGCACAATGTTCTGTTGAGCAGCACATTATTAGCTTCAAAATTATCAGGAAAGCTGGAATTTATAATACGCACACAGGCAAACAAAAGGCTAAATTAAGTCCTAGCTGGTCAAGCACCAGGAAAGCTTGCCAGACAGCAATATCAATGGCAAGCTATGCAGTTTTAGCTGGTTAGACCCCAACACACACCCTGGGGTCCCTAAGCCTTGGCTCTTGCCAGCTTGTGCCTAATACTTTACAGAATTAGGTGAGCAGGATGCATCCCTCCAGGGAGAGAGTGCACATTCCATTCCAATCTGTCTCTGGGATTTCCATGTGTATGTGGGATGCATGAAATTCTTGCTTTGTATACTCTTAAGCATGGTGATGGGTTTCTGAATTTGTCAGACACCTGGATGACCCCCCCAAAAAATTCAATTTATAAAACAATATATTTCCTGATTTTCTTTAAATCCTTATTTTTCACATTGTAATTTTTCTCATCGCCAGCTCTGTATTAAGGTGTCAGCGTAAACTATAGGGATTAATAATTATTATTATAAGAGTGCTACCAACTGAGCCAGCCTGATGTGTCTGGTTAGCAAGCACAATACAGATAAAATAAACCAGTAAATGCATGCTTGGGGCATAATTGGACATTATTTGCTGATGAGACAATACTCTGGCAACAGCAGCTGCTAGATCCTTTCACAAAATGTGCTGAGAGTCTGTTCCTCCCCAACAACACATCACCTGAATAATTTAACCTCCCTCCTTGCTTGGCTCCACAGGCTCCCAGTTCCCCAAGCCGATTTGAGTTACAAAATTCTCATTCTCATTTCAACTCCCTCCAAACTCCATGCTATCTCTATGTTTCATATCTCTATCTCTGTTTCATATCCCCGTCCTATCCATTGGAAGGCATGATTTTGGCCAGTCTGTCCCCGTTGTCTGGAACCCTGTGTTGGGAGTCCCTCTGTCTCACTCTCTCCCTCCCCTCATTAAAGGCATGTTTAGCTACTTACCTTTTATATCAATTGCTAGGTGAGACCTTAGCTCACTGAATATGGTTCCATCGGGAAAGAAACGCCATAAATGAACATCTTTAAAGATGCACTGAAATGCCCAGCCTTGAACCTGTAGTGATCAGATTTCCTACTACATCCAAGTGCTCTTGACAACACTTTCGTTCACCTTTCTCTACTCCCCTCAGCTCTTATTCTCCAGCTCGGATGCCCATTCAACAACAACAACAAATTACATTTGTATAGTATCTTTTACGTCAGGAAGACGTCCCAAGTTGTTGGACAGTCAAGGACTTGGACCCAAGCTGGGGGTTGGGATCAGCAGGGGTGGGCCGGGCAGGAGACATGGGCCAAGCCTGCTGAGCGAAGGGAGCGGTCAGGTCGATGTGGAGTTAGCAGGTCTTAGAGGTAGGGAAGAGCAAGGCTGTAGAGGGCTTTGAAGCCGTGTTCAGCACTTTTAGATATTCTCATGATGTGAAAAGCGCTGTATAAATGTAAATTGTACTATATCATAAAGCATTTGCCGTAACAAGGGATTTTTAACAATCCTTTTTTTAAAAAAATATAATTTCAGCAATTTCCTACAATAAATTAAGTAGCGACAACAACAATTTACATCTTTAAAGACCTTTCACATTAGAGAGCTTCTCAAAATGCTTCACCCAGCTGAACAAAGTCACAACCTTCTCCAAACTATCTGCTGCAAATTCTGATCAATTTACAAACCATAATCTGTCCAGGGCCCAATTACACCATTTGCAAAATAAAATGTTCATTAATTAGCCCATAGAAGGGCCTGGTTGCATTGCACTGGAGACTCCCATATGGTGGTTTGGCTACTTACCTTTTATGTCAATTGCTAGGTGAGACCTTAGCTCACTGAATATGGTTCCATTGGGAAGGAAACGCCATAAATGAACATCTTTATTCTGCAGCACTGAAACTCCCAGTCTTGAACCTGTAGTGATCAGACTTCCTACTACATCCAAGCAGCAGTCTTCAGCTAACTGTGGAATTGGGGGTTGGGGGATGGAGAGGGGAAAGAGAAGGTTAGAATAAAAATATTGTATAAACCAATCCAATTCTAAAAATGTTCCACATAACAGGAACTACAAAATGTTGATACATGTTTTAGATAATTTGATACACGTTTTATGGTTACAGTTTTTTTTGAGTTGCAGAACAGAGAAACTTTGTGTTTGTGTATTGATAGGCAACTTGATAGCAAAGTTGGGCACAGCAATGTCTTGAATGACCAGTTTTATAGGGAAGATACGAGTATTAGCAGAACTAAATTTAAATTGCATGGTTGTTTCAGAACTATTTTGCCAGGTCCTTTTGCTAATCTGTAAACATTGATAATCACTGGGTAGGTTCAAGACTTTTGTGCAACCAGTTCTATTTACAGACCTGGACTGTAGAAATTTCACACAGATATAGCACAATTATTTTATACAGTAGATGGCTGAGTATCCCTATATGTAATATTTACATTCAGTGATGTGTATGTTGCAGTTTATAAAATTTATAATTGGTGAAAAAAACAGGAATGAGCATGGCTGAGAAAGCCTTGGCGAGCACCTTGTTTTTGATGACTCCATCCTGGTAAGACCAAATCTGATCATCCAACCCCGTGGGTTCCAAAGCCTGCACTCGCACCAGCTTCAGATCATTCAGTTCTCCAGTGAATGTCATTAATGCTCCCGTACTTCGATTCCGTATCCTAAAGTACACTAATTTCTGCCAACAGAAGAGAATGTGGGTAAATACCACAAAATGGTTTTCACCATTTTTTAAATGACATGGATTTTTTGAAAAAAACTTGAACTTGTTCTTTCAAATAAGATCAGGAATATTTGCTAAGTTACTGCTTTACTTTCTCCCCACCATGCCACCCCCTTTCGTAAAGAGCTGGCTTGTGCTCCACACAGTAATTTGATACTTTCAAAAGTATTGATCTTGGGCCGATCAGTGGGCCATAGCTAAACATATACAAATCGATAATAACTTAATGGCAAAGTGATATTAGATAACTCCATAACTATATTAGGAATATTAAAAGAGACACAAATCTACATTTATCTTCTGAAGGCTTTATTTTTCTTTTATATGAGGGAATGGGAAAGAAAACAAAACTTTTCTTTGACAAACTGCTGAAAACAAACAGGCACTCCTACAGCTAAATCCTATAACATTAAACTCTTGACTGGGATACCTGAACTTCAAAACACTCTGGGCTCTCCTGGGTTGATTAAGGCTGTCCAAACTTGGTTTGGGGTAAAGTGATTTTGTTGTTTAAAATACTCCCCTAAAATCAAGTACTAGCTATGGTATAACTTCTCTTCAAATTGTTCCTCAGACAGCATTGGGTATTTATTCAGTGATTAGCCTGACAACCTATCACTTATCTGGATGCAAAGGAGACTAACTTCTCAAGATAATACAATCTTATAGAACTGTCATAAGAATGTACTGAACTTCCCCCTCTCTTCCCCTACCCTCCCACACACTTCAGCTTCCAGCCAAATGACAAAGATAATTTTTTTAAACCAACATTTTGATGCTCTTTATAAGTCAAAGATGGGAACAAAAGAGTGTACAGGATTGGGAAAAAAAACTATTTGGCTGGTCCCAAAGTTTTTTTTAAAAATCCTGTGCCGCTCTCTCATATAACCCTCAATGAGTTCTTTGCCAAATAGCTACGTAATTCCCTTTTGGAAATGCTGGCAAAATCATAGGGCAACATGAAGGTGTAGTAACAAGCTCCAGTGCTCTATACTATGGAATGGTTATACACAGGTACAAGTGCCCAAGTATATATACACACTGTACATTTACTTAAATATATACATGAATACTCTCCCCCTTCATACCATTGCCTTTAATTTTGATTTATTAGTAATTCCAATGTAATTTACTAAAATATTCAAAATGTTGCATATCAAGTCAGAGATTGTATTCATAAAACATCTACCATAAACGTACCTGAATCAGGGGGCGCACAGAACCAATTCTGTGCCATCCTGTGAATTCATGCCAGTTGGGTATATCACCGGGTTGTAGCAAAATCTGACATCCTCTATAGTTACTGAATTCGTAAGCAATCCAACTGTTTTTCATAAATGAAAAAAAATTACACAACTGAACAAAATTTCCACAGAGCAATGTCCCACAAACAACTGTGAAGTGAATGATCAATATTATGTGTAGAATTGTTGGCCAGGAAACTAGGACCACCTCTCTTAGTGCATGATTCTAAAGCCGCCACAACTACACAGCTTTTGTGTTAATCGTGTCCACTGTATTACATAGTTAAAACATAATACCAGGCTGCACTATGTGGAAGATGTAAAAACAAATTATAGAAAATATAGTTACTGAATGTTTTAAGAAGTATAGGAATCAAATTAAAACAAAACGTGGAGATGTTCATGATATGGCTTTGCCAGCTACAATGAACACGCTAATTACTACTTATGCCTGCCAACATAAGACAGATCTTGTCAAGACCTTTCCAAGAATGAAAAAAAGCTTTAGGGCAGGAGAGCATTTTACTTACGTGCCGCCATTTACTTGCACAGAGAAGATGTGAGTGTTGTATCCAAACAAGGCCAGATTCAATGCTTCCGAATGCAGTTCAATTTTCTTTCCTTTGAAATCTGTTCTCTCAAACAGTTCAATATTTGACTGGGTAAAGTTCTATGAAAAACAAAAAGTGATTTGATCTCTGTCAGAATACCCAAGTGTTAAATTAGCCCACAGCACAGAAACAGCCCTGGTCAAAGTGACAAATGACATTCTGTCCATCTGCGATCAGGGCTCCCTCTGCCTCCTCGTCCTCCTTGACCTCACTGAAACCTTGGTCCATGCCTTTGTCACCTCTCGGCTGGACTATTCAAACGCCCTCCTCGCCGGTTTCCCGGGGACGAGAGGGGACGAGGTGAAGGGAGTTCCAGAGCCTCGGGGCATAGTGGCTGAAGACACGGCCACCGAGGGTGGAGTGGAGGACTCAGAGGACAAGGAGGAGGCCAGACCCGGAGGAACAAAGGCAATGGGCACTGTTTTGAGGAGAGAGGATGTCAGAGGTAGGGGGTGCGGAGGCGTGGAGAGATTTGAAGACAAGGGTGAGGATCTTGAAATCAATCCTCTCTGGGACAGGGAGCCAGTGCAGTCTGGCAAGGACTGGGGTGATCGGGGAGCGGAGTTTGGTGCGGGTGAGAATACGGGTGGCAGAGTTTTGAATAATCTGGATTTTATGGATGGTAGTGAAAGGGAAACCGGCGAGGAGGGCGTTTGAATAATCCAGCCGAGAGGTGACAAGGGTATGGACCAGGTTTCAGCGGCTTTCGGAGTAAGGTATTGGTGGAGACAGGCGATGCATCGGAGGTGGAAGAAAGCGGTGCTGGTGAGGGACTGGATGTGGGGGAGGAAGAATAATTGGGGGTCGAATCTGACGCCTAGGTTGCGTACGGGTTCGGAGAGTTTTAGAGGGAGGTCGGGTAGGTGGAGGAGGTGAGAACCATGAGATTTTAGACGTTGACGAGAGCCAAAGAGTATGGCTTCCGTCTTGTCAACATTCAGTTGAAGGAAGTTTGCGTTTATCCAGCCCCTGAGATCTGACAGGCAGGCTGACAGAACATCAGGGGACTGGGGGTCGCAAAGAGAGGTGGAAAAATAGAGTTGGGTATCGTCCGCATACATGTGGAAATGTGCCCCATGTCTGTGGATGACATCCCCAAGAGGGAGCATGTAGATCAGAAAATGGAGGGGGTCAAGGATGGATCCTTGGGATACCCCACAGGTGACCGGGTGAGAGCGGGAGGAGAAGCCATTTGTGCAGATGTACTGCTGGCGGTTTGTGAGGTAGGACTTGAACCAGGTGAGTGCGGTCCCACTGAGGTGGATGACGGAGGAAAGGCAGTGGAGGAGGATGGCGTGATCAACTCTGTTGAATGTGGCGGAGAGGTCCAGGAGGACAAGGAGACAGAGGGAGCCCTGGTCACAGATAGAGAGCCGTCAAAGAATGGGACGGTAGCTGTGGAGATACTCAAGCCACAGTTGGTGGTGAACTGTCAGGCCAGTTTTCCGCCATCTGCGCTCGAGCAGCCGAGTTTGGGTTTTTTGGAGGCGGAGATGGTTGTTGTTCAGGGGGATCGGGTGGGTTTGGAGATGATCCTAGATTTCAGGGGGATGAGGGAGTTGAAGGTGGAGGAGAGGCGATTATGGAGCAACTGGACGGCTGCTTCAGGATCTCCGCGGGTGGAAGGCCAGTGAGATAGGATGTTTGATGATGTTAGGGTCTTTGTGAGGGTCTCAGGGGGTAGCCTTTTCCAAGGGCAGTGGAGGATGGTTGAGGGCTTGGTGGAGGAGAGAAGGATGTGAGAGGAAAAGGAGATGAGGAAGTAGTCCGAGATGGTCTTGTCCACGATGCTAAGGCCGTGGGTGATAACAAGGTCAAGGGCATGACCACGATTGTGGGTAGGTGAATTTATGTGAAGGGTGAGGTTTAGGGAGGAGAGGAGGGCAGTGAAGTCGGCAGAAGTAGTGCAAGGGGAGTTTAGGTGAAGATTGAAATCGCCCATTATAAGCAGGTGTTCAGAGCAGAGGGACAGGGAAGAGAGAGTAGAGATGTCTGTGTGGAAGGAGCCGGGGGCTTAGGGGTGCGGTAGACTAGGAGGATTTTCAATGGGAGAGAGGTGTGGAAGAGGGTAAGGTGCTCGAAGGAGGGGAAGCAGCCAGAGGAGTAGGAGGTGAGACCAAGGGAGGCTTTGTTTGAGAGGGAACAGACATTTTGGAGGGAAATGCGGGTGGGTTTGCTGGAGGAAGGAGAGGGAGCAGAGAGTGATGCGGGGAGGATTTTTGGATGTATAGGAGAGATGGTTGTGGAGAGTGGTGTGAGTGGAGAGTTGGGGAGGGTACGTATGAGGGAGGGGGATGTTGGATTTGCCTTAAGGAGGTGGTTTGAGGGGAGGGAGTGAATGATTGGACACTTGGGGTTGCTGCTCTGGTGCCGGGAGCCACGATGGGCCTGGCAGAGGATGCCCAGGCTGGAGCAGAGGGAAGTGGTGATGGGGTCAAGGAGAGAGTGAAGGCGGGGAGGGCGGTGGGAGAGAAGGACAGAGGGGGAGTATCAGATAGANGGGGGTGGGAGGAGAGACATTTAGAGTGGAGGGGGAGGCTCGGGTCGGGACGGCAGCCAAAACGCGCACGCAGAAACCGGGAGCAAGCGATCAGCGGGATGGCATCAGCCTCGGGCTGTGTGGTCACAGCTGGGATGGCAGTGGCAGGGGCTGCCAGGCCACTGTTGTTGTTGTTGCTGGTTTTTTAACTGTGACGTCACCTTGTGAATCGCGCCACCCCGTCACTTATCCCCCCCGCGCTCTCCTGACTCCTCTCCCGATTGAGTGGCTCCTCATCTGGCTGGGCTTTATACCCGCAGCAAGGCCTCAGCTCCGCCCCACTCTCTCCTGAGTCTGCTCCCGATACTATTTATAGTAGTTACCGCACATCAAAATTTCATAAGAAAAATTATTGCTTTGCATTATTTGGCATTATTTATTCTCTCAATTAGAAACTGAGGCACCAGCAACAAAGATCCAGTGTTGGATCCTGTGTGCATTGTGTGCTGAAGGTGTAAAGTTATGGCATGCTTCCAGAAAGGATCAACTGTCATTAGATTAGAATGGAAAACCCAGAGGTGTTCTTTTGTAGGCAGTGTGCTAGTGTTACCATACTTCAAATAAAAGGACTGACATTAAATCAGACAGGTAAACCTTTATGTGTAGCACTGAAATAATCAACTCAATCCTGAACGACAACAATGGGATGATAACAACATCCTTCTCAGCTTACTGGCAGCAACCCTGACTGGCTAATGGGGAACCTGCCCATCACCGGCAGTAAACCATGGAAGTAAAACCCACCATTGATCTGCTGCCCAGATTTTGACCTTAGTGGATCCCATTGTGAAACTGCTGCTTTTTAACCCTACTGTAAGACTGGTACAATACCAAATGCATTTATGTTGCATCACGTTGGGATGAAGGCCATTCACAGCCTTGCTCCCTCCTACCTCTCCGACCTCCTATCCCCCTATTTACCTGCCCATACCCTCCGTTCCTCTGGCTCCAGTCTGCTCCACATCCCCCGCCCCAAACGCCCTACCATTGGTGGCCGGACCTTCAGCCTCTCAGCCCCGAGGCTCTGGAACTCTATCCCCCAGTGCCTTCGCCGCCTCCTCCCTTTCCTCCTTCAAGGCCGGTCTCCAGACCTTTCTCTTTGACCGTGCCTCCAGCTCCCCTCTCAACTCTCTACCCCCTCCTCGCTCCCTCCCTTCCCTCCCCTCACCCTTACCATTTCCCCCCTGCTCGGGTCCTGACCCAACTGTCCAGCTCCTTGGGACGTCCTCCCGACGTGAAAGGCGCTCTATAAATGAAATCTTGTTGTTGTTGTAAATCTTGCAATTATTTTAGCACAAAATGGATTTAACATGAATGGCTCAATTAATGGAACATTACAATAAGCTGTCATTGACAGAATTGTTTTAACAAGATCAGTACTTACAAATCCCACTGTCTTTGAAGATTTGATGTGTGTATCTGTTGCACATCCCATTGTGATCAAATTAGGATACATTCCTTCTTCAAGTACATACTGCTTACCAGTGAAGTCCTCCCCATCGTATACCACCCAGCTACAAAGAAAAACACGAAATGGTTTGATTAGACAATTACTTTCTATCTCAATGCAACTATATGTTCTTAAAGGATCCTCTGATGCAAAAGAAATGGTCCATCTCCGATCATCTTCAATCAATGTTAGGCTCTGTACGGTGTAAGAGAGAATTGCATTTGTTGTATGGAAATTCATTTCTTTTAAGTAAGAAAGACTGTCTCTCACACACACACACACAAAATTGTAGAGCATAAGGAATTTTAAACTACAGTCCAACCTCAATATTGAATCTGACACACGTTTAACTTTTCACCATAATTACAGTATTTGTGAATGACAACACCTAAATACAGTCTTGATCTCAGTTTATTGAACTCACTTGCCAGACAGAACCTTGCAGGATTTGGGTGAAAATTCATCCATAAACTGGACCGTGTCCTTTTCAAAGACGTGTGTAGTCCCTTGGAATTCAGTTTCCGAAAAAAACTTGACCTACAATTAAATACAAAAGTACTGGATGCAACAACGATACAATACAATTGAAAGTCAATGACGGTAGTAACAAAGCAAACGTAATTTAAATTCAATTTAAGTATTATTGTTCATTTTATTTATAAGAATTGATATGAACTGAAAAAAAACATGTTCTCACATATTTAATCTTTTAATTGCTTTATTCATAAAGCATCTGCAAATAAAATTTAGTTTCAGTAATAATAATAATAATCCTTGCATTTGATATAGCACATTTCACATCTTCTTGACGTCTCAAAGCTCTTCACAGAATAGACTGTGAAGTGAATTGACTATATATTCGTGGGCAAAACGCGGCAGTCAATTGCGCACAGAAGTGTCCCACAAACAGTCGTGGATTGAAACTGACCAATTTATTATTGTTTTGTTTTGGAGGATTATTAGGCGTGTGGAGTAAGGAAACTTGCCCAAGGTTTCGCCCTGCCTGGAATTGAACCCAGGTGTCTCGCTTGCAAGGCGAATGCTCGAACCACTGAGCTACAGGACTCCACAGTACTGAAGCCAGACGAGCAGATGGCTTTTTATTTTAGCTTTAAGTACGTTATAATAACTTACTCTCATTTGGAATCTCTCTGGGATAAAAAAAATTAGTCTGGATTGCTTTTGAGTTAATAAATGGTAAGAGCTTACTCATATAATTCCTAGAGAACCTCTCATATTATTTTCTTAGACGTAACAGAATAAATGAATATTTTGAAATGCTTAATTTGAACCTTACCTTAAACTTGGGCTTTTGGTTGGTATCCTAGAAAAACACAGAGGGAGGAGAAAGCTGATTTAAGATATACTGCAAATAATTTACTGAGTGTAAATTGCTTTAAGAAGGGAGCGAGGAATTCCTTCAAGACATGCTCAATAATTACAGTGAGTGACTACTATATTCAGGTGTTATCCTCATCCAAAATCACTACTTGTCAGCAAGTTCTGGATTCAGTTCAGTCGCCTACTGGACAAATGAGCCCATGATTAACACATAATGGGCTTGAAAAGGGCATTGCTCATAACTAATCTATTCACTGCTAAAAAGCCTGAATGCCCTGCCATTGGAATGGGTCATGCAGAAAAAACAAGGACATTAAAAAACACATATGGTCACTCTTTTGCACAATTTTCTACTTTTGGTTCCCTGAAGATGGTGTAGAAGAGAAGTACAGTTCTATGGGTGATCGCACAAACGGCCATTCTTCATGTGTGAGCCTAGGCAGTGATCTTACCAGACTGTTCAAACATCGGAATGATCATCAACAACGTGCACTAATATAGCGCTCCTCACGTGGGTTTAGCTTCACAGAATGTTTAACAATGGCAGAGCTTGACGTTGAGCCAGAGGGAAAAGAAAGGTGGTAGCAGGCATGGTTAAAGAGGAAGGTTTTCAGGTGTGATCTGAAGATGCACAAAGATCAGTGCTGAGCCCAATCCCTTCCTCGCTCTACTTCCTCACACACTACTAGATGCCAATTGGAAACGGGAACCTGACTGATTTTTCCTTTTCCTGAATCAATAACTTGATTTACGTAGTCCTTTCATGTAAATCTGAAACGCTTGACAAACATAATGTCAAAAATCACCACAATAGTAAAGTTAAGACTTACCACCAGAACAGGCTGAAGAGAGGAGATCCTAAAATCTTTTGCTCCCCAATCCTGGTAGCTGCTATACAGACCCTTACCCAGAATGTATTGTGCTCCTGTGAAATCTGCTTCCTCGTAGGCAACCCATCTGTAGAAAGCAAAGTGATGATAAATGCATTGACCTCTCCAAAATTATTTATCCAGCATGAAAATTGAACTATTCCAGTTCAAACTCCTAGGATTTTAATATCAAAGTGATCGTGCTGTTGAAGCAATAGTGAAGTTCAATAGTATCCTATGCTTTCCATTAAGCTGTATTTGTTAAATGCTCCAAGACCCTGACCTGTGTAAATCATAGAATTATAATAATCCTTGCATTTTTGATATAGAGCTTTTCACGTCTTCTAGACATCTCAAAGCCTTCATAGAATAGTCTGTAAAGTGAATTGACTGCATATTTGTGGGCGAAATGCAGCAGCCAATTGCACACAGAACAGCATAAAAGGAGGCCATTCAGCCCATCGTGTCTGGGCCGGCTCTTTGAGAAGAGCTATCCAAATCAATCCCACTCCCCCGCTCTCTCCCCATAGCTCTGCAAACTTGTTCACCCCAAATAATTATCTACTTCTCTCTTAAAAGTTATTATTGAATTGGCTTCCACCACCCTTTCAGGCAATGCATTCCAGATCCGAACAACTCATTGTATGAAAACATTTCTCCTCACCTCCCTTCTGTTTCTTTCCACAACTATTTTAAATTAGTGTCCTCGGGTTACCGACCCACCCACCAGTGGAAATAGTTTCTCCTTGTTCACATAATCGAATTCCCTCATAATTTTGAAAACTTCTCTTAAGTCTCCTCTTAACTTTCTCTGCTCCAAGGAGAATAATCCTTGCTGCTTTAGTCTCTTCTCATAACTGAAGTCCCTCATTCCCGGTACCATCCTGGTAAATCTCCTGAAGATGTCACATATCACCAATAAGACGGCGTTGGAAAGTGGTCCGAGTAGTGCCGAGGAATCTGTCACTCAGGTACGCAATGACAAATGAGTTATGAAACGGAGCACTGATGGTCTGCACTGACAATCTATCATTGAGGACTTGGGGCACCAATGGCATCTGCAGTGAAGACCTCCCCTATTCAAGCTCTGTACAATTATAATAATAATCCTTGCATTTGATAAAGAGTCATTCACACTGGGAGGACGTCTCAAAGAGCTTCAAGTATTCACTGTAAAATGTAATTACCATGTATGTTGTAGGCAAACGCAGCAGCCAATTTGTACACCGCAACTTTCTACAAACAGCCATAAAGTAACTGACCACTGGAGTGTCATTTTAGACACTATATGAACTCAACGTCTGGACAAAGGGCTTCAACTCACAACCTTATAACTCAGAGGCAAGAGCGCTACCAACTGAGCCAGACTGATACCCTGGATATAGAGCAGGAGCATCTGATGAATTTTCCTATTGCTGCTTTGGGGACATTGGTGTCAAATCTCCAAGATGCAGTCATTGTCTTAACTCTGTCGAAGCTACAGACAACCATGACTGCTGGATTTTAAGGTCCTTGATCTTGGGACAGTTCAATTTCTTCCTGTCACATGATGCAAACCACATAGAAAACTCACACATAAATATTATAGATATATAAAAATGTGTTCAAAACTATATTACACTTGGAAATTGGATAATTTTACACTGCTCAAGCTTCACTCAGATTCAGTTCAGGTAAGTCTTGTAATAATAATAATCCTTGCATTTTATATTGCATCTTGTCACGTTGTTGAAAGGTCTCAAAGCGTTTCACAGAATATACTGTAAAGTGAATTGACTGTATGAGTGACCAAATTTTTTTTGTGTGAGAGTTCACCAACTGAGCCAAGTTGACCTGTTAAATTCAATCGCATTTAAAATAATAATAATAATCCTTGAATTTGATATAGTGCCTTATCACATATTCGAGACATCTCAAAGTGCTTCACAGAATATACTTAAAATGTATATTTTGTGGATGAAATAAATGCAAAACAATCTTAATTTACTTTGTCAATTAAACCATTTTGTTTTCAGTCTTTCCCATCTCAGTAAGTTATACTCACACCTACATCATTAAAAACAAGCTGAACTACTTTCAAAATCAGCAGCATGGAGAAATTATTTGTTACACAACCACACCAAATCGGCTGTAGGACAAAACCTGAAAATGTACTTTCTAAAATCAAAAATGAATTAGAAGTATTTTAAAGGAAACAACATTGCTTCTCTAAAAAGTGTTTTGCATTACTCAGACAATGTGTATATAATTAAATATAATCTTTTCTGTGGATTACCCCATGAATCTAAAACTAATTGCACTAATTACACTGAACATTCCTCGTCATCTCTCTGCTTCACCTCTACCTGGGACATCTTTTCAACATGTCCCTCTCATATACCAGCTTTAAGATAGATATTGAGATGTTGCAACCAAGATTTAAGCCTGTGTTTATGGCCCAATGCTGACCATTTTATTCCTTGGCATTTTGATAAATCAAGACAAGGTAAAGTACATAAAAAAATTAAAAATATGAGGAGAAAGGAGACGACAATTGACATAAATCTTAAAGCTGCTAAGGGTTCCAAAAATAGGCGTGGCTTGATGATTGTAATGAAACACACCCATCACTTCAATTTCCTCTCAACTACATTTTCAAGAGATCATGTCTTCTATTTCCTTGCATGCCTGTATATCATTGCAGAGTTAATCATTCAAGCTCCAGCACAATACCCAATCTGTGAGAGGCTTTGATATTGATGAGAAATAATGGAATGAGACACTGAGAGACAGGGTAGTTGTGGTGGTGTTGGGCAGGAGTTAATGAGGGACTGATAATAGAAGTGGGAGGTGTAATAGGCCATATCCTCCTTTACTAAGCAGTAGATTTAAAGACCTTAGTATAACAACAACTTGTATTTATACAACGCCCTTCACAACAATAACAACAGTGAAATACATTTATATAGCGCCCTTGTCTGCCAGCCTGGCTCACTTGTAGCACTCTTGCCTCTGAGTCAGAAGGTTGTGGGTTCAAGCCCCACGTCAGGTCTTGGAATCATATGGTCTAAACTGATACTGCAATTTGGTGCTGGGGGTGTGTTGCATTGTCCTTCAGATGAGACATTAAACCAAGTTCCTGTCTGCCTGTTCAGGTGGACATTAAATATCCCATAGCACTATTCGAAAAGAGAAGGGCGTTTCTCCTGGTGTCCTGGCCAACAATCTCCCAAATAAAATTGGTCACTCACTCCATGGCTGTTTGTGGGACACTGCTGTGCGCAAATTCACTGCCAGGTTTCACCAACAAGATACGCAGCTTTGTACACAGTTTGGATACACTTTACATTATATCCTTTATAGTACAGTATATCCTGCGCTTGTGAGACTTCTCAATGGCCACGATAAGGCGCTACATCAAATGCAAGGATTATTATTATTCACGTGGGTAGCGTCTTAGTCGCATAACAGCGATGTGGTTTGAATTAATTTGTGGTTTCATGTGGAATAATATCACAAAGTGCTGCCAAATAGAGTAGACCTGGCCTCAAATGTTGGCTAGTACAGCATGAGAACTGTATTAATCGTTTTCCTGGTGTTCACACTTTATGGTGGTCTGGAAAGTATGGCGAAATCCACCGCTCTGCCATCTTTTACACAACTCACAAAACATCAGTCATCTGCACTACAGTCTGCCATTGAGCAACAGGCAACATCAATGGAAAACTTAGAGGCCAAAGGTACAGTAGATCGCCTGCAATCTGAAGATCACCTAAGAAGGGCACTTTTACAACCATTAAGAGTACGTCACAATGATGACCACATGCAGAAGCAAAACATATACAATAAATACAAAACTAGTATTGAGCAATTTAATAAATTGTTGCGGGTTTTAATGCAGCTTAAGGTGTACTATCAGTTAATTGCGACTCCATATTTGTTATTTAACTAATTTAACATTAAAAGGGGATGGGTTTGTTGGCTCAGTAACCTTTTCCTGGTTCTACAAATTTTAATTTGCCAAGTGTTAATGATGCTGAAACTGAAAATAAGCCTGCAACAGTATAACCTGGGTTTAACAGATAATTATAACTTGTTTAAAACAACCCTGTATTGTAATTAACCAAATGTGGCACTAATATTTTGAATAGCCGAATTTTGTAACCCACTGAGAAATCACTTTAAATTTACACTGGGACTTACACTCCACTGAGTACATTTATAGACTGGGTCTTCAAGCCATATTCAGTGTCTCTCAGGTTCAGGATAGGACCTAATACTTCAATGTTTGCACCTTTCTCACCAAAGTTTGTTTCAGTGAACAAGATCATAACTGGACTCGAAGCTTCCTGGATTATAAAAAGAAACAAACACAATATTATAGTACATTGATGTCCTTCACAAAAATAGATAAATGCATCTTTTAGCAAAGAAAAACAGTTACATGTATTGTACACAAAGCCAAACTATTAAAGAAACAAAAGAAAACAGACAAGATAACCTTACGTTTGTAAAAGAGATCTATTGAAATGGTTGCAGTTTTTTTTTAAAGTTCTGATTACTAAATAAGTGCAAACTTCAGCTATGAAACTAAACTTCAGCTGTAAAACCACGGCTTTCTCAACTGGGTCAACAGTCTGACGTCTGGCTCTTTGGAATAACGATCAAATCTAATCTACAGTGAGGCAAACAAGCGGCAACAAAACAGGAATAGGAATCTATCAGAAAACTTAACCTTTTCAGTCTTAACACAAAGTGTTCCACAAAGTGTACACTTGACCAGAGACTGTAAGAGGGAGGTCTCTCTGTCAAGACAACAGGGAAAGGCCCATCTCTTGGACTAGGTCTAAGTATATTTCAAAGCCATGTGTATCATTGGATGTGATGTCAACGAGCACCATCGTCCAATATCAGAGGTGCAAATGAGCCATCATTCCTCTGCAACATTATTGTAGTAGATCCACAAGTTGTTAGCATTGGAGCCATGGTGGCTGAGTTTCTCAGTCCCACAAGATAGGAAAATCTCAGGTTTAATCTGTGCTAAGTCAGGGAACTTTAGAGTTGGCCTCAGTGCCTTTTAGCCTGATTCGGGTGAGGGTGGGAGAGTGAAGGTGAATCAATCAGGTTGACTGATAGCTAACAAGAGAGCTGTACCGAATAGTTGTTCATATTTTCACATTGAATGTGAATGGTGTCAAGGAGAGCGACAAGCTGAACTGCAATGTCCTCTCTCAAAGTCACCTCATCTACTAGATACTCATGGTCTAAGTTCACATGAACAAGATCACTAAGATGACCTGCTCTTGTGAAACCATATCCCAAACATGAGTTACCAACATCAAAATAGGAGAGCAATAAAGTGATGAAAGAAGGGAGGAACCAAACCCCCAAACATACACGATTTATCCAATAAGTTAATTTTCTAATGTGGTTATATTGTATTCACACTATATATATATATATACACACACATACGTACACATATAATAAAAAAAACACTCACAACTTCAATAAATTGCAAAGAACGAAGTTGTTCATCATAGCCTCCCCACTCATTCCATTCTCGGTATTCTCCTTCTTCCAACAAGTACTGATGCCCTTCAAATCCTGACTTCTCATAACCAACCCAACTGTAAAAAAGCGAGAAACTGGTTATAGAGTGCAGCTCTCTTATAGTCATGGCAACTTACAGGGTTCCTGGAGGACGCAGAGTCTTTATAAAATAAAATTTGTAATATAAAAAAAAGAAACTCTGTGAGAAAATAATCTTGAATTGAAAATGGAAGGTATGCTGAATAGGAATACACCATTGTAAAGGACTAAAAAGAACATGTTTGAAAAAAAAGTGAAAGAAATTAGTTGCGAGTTATAACTGACAAAATAATGTGTGAAAACCCACTTCGCACAACACAAAATTCTGCCAATCAAACTAAGGTTGCTATTTTGGAATATTAATAAGGATGTCTAGTTGAAATAATTGGAATTTACATTTGGAGAAACAGAGTGACAGAGACAAACCTAAACAGGTAACATGCATTTGATGACAATTAAAGTACACAGCCCCATTTTTAGCAATGAGATATTCATAGACATGGTCAGTTCATAGGAAAGCCAAAAATCATGTAACTCAAGCAACAGCGTGATTCAGTCTGAATTTCATGTTCATGAAGTTGCTGTAACAGAATACAAATAGAGTGAATCTCAGGACACAGAAATTGTGATAAATAGAAGGAACAACTCCAAAATACTGTTGACAATATTCATCTGGCCTTACCTTGCAACAGATAAAACATTCAGTTGCAGCCTGATCACAGCTGGACACAATACTCCAGGTGGGGTCTGGGGATGTAGTAATCCAGGTACAGCCTGACCAAAGAAAGCTGACAACAGCCAAGGCTTGGGGGACCCCAGAGTGTGCGTTGAGATATTGCTCAACATTTTAGCTACTAGAAAATGTCCAGAAACTACTGGACTTTTACTTTGAGGTCTTAAAAGTGGTCATCTGAAGTCCTTGCCTAAAATTACAGCTGATTACTGACTCCTGAATCTCCACTCTTGATTCAGATCAACTTTTTCCAATGATTTCTGGCCAGTACAGAAGAACCTGTGATGTTCAAATACTCATTCACTTTTAGCTCATTCATGAGACTATGCACCTGCTTTGAAAGCTGTACTGGTGAATGGATAAAGAAAAGGTGCATCATTTCCTACAATTTTCCACACACCGTTTAGCTCAACTGCACAGAAAGCAAATTATTCTAGTTGCTCTAACAATTATGTGGAAACCACAATAAACAAAACGATGATTATAGTACTCTAGTAAGTAAAGACTACTTACAGTCCTCCTAAAACTTTAATGGAGCCGACAGTCTCAAAATGGTAAGTCTGACACAAAGTTGATTCTTTGTCTCTTTCGGCCTCTCCAATGAAACAGAAAACATCTGTTTCCAGTTCCATTTGTTTGCCTTCAAAGAAAGGCTTTTCATACACGATAATCTGTGAGGCAAGTTAACAAAGGTAAATGTTAATAGTACAAAGGGGAAGCTGAAGAAAACTACATATCCTTTTACTATAACAGGTGTTTCTTTGGCTTTTTAAAAAAAACATGTCTGCAGCCACTAATGTCTCCAAAGCTAAACCATCATTGACATCAGTGACATGGAGAGTAAAGGAAGCTACCATCAGGAATTGAAAACAGAATTAACTGCACTCTGTAAATACTTACAGCATGTTATTAATGATAACTTCTGGAATAAGTTCAAGGTAAATAATCAATCGTTATTTATGTTGCCTGAACATCAATTATGGATTTCCAATTATTTCGAATCTGTTTTCTCCATTTTATCATGTGTGTTCACTGCCATTCAACTGTTTTGGATTTACTTACACGTCAGGTTCATGCTTTAAATTCTGTATTACATGAAGATGTCCCAGGCCCATCCTCCTTCAACAAGTCTTAAAAGCAGGAGAACTCACAAAGAATTGCACTAAAACTGTGGGGAACCTTTTATGCAACAGCGATGGATTCAGTTAACTTTCAAGATCTGGACAACTACCGCACTCATTCCAAATTTATCAGGAGCTACATCAAGATCTAGTCACAACCTTATTAAAAACAGTACGCTTTGGGTGTTACTTGGCAACCTATTTTATCATCATTAGCTCAGATTAGACAGCACAGCCACGATGGGACAAATGACCCTCTTCGATGCTGTAAATTTCTAAGTTTCTTTTAGAATAGTTTAAAGATACTGGGAAAGCAAGGGTAAAACGAAGGGTATTGAGAAAAGGTGGGGAAATGAGGTGCAAAGATCAGCCATCATCTAATAAGAAGGCAGAATGGGCTCAATGGGCCAAACAAATGACTCCTGTTTCTATTTAACAACAAAGTTACCAGCTCTTGGTCTAGTTTGGTAAATGGAGTGTGGTTTGTATGGAACCAAACCCAGCAAGAAACAACAGCTTCACAAAAGAAGGGGGAAAGAAGGGGTCACATATTAGGGTACTCAATTATTTTAAATAAGATAATAAGAAAAACTAATAGCCTATTGTGATGCACACAGATACACATTTAACATTTTTACAGCAGAAATTTGATTGGTATGATTTTATTCAGTGAAACATATTGCTAGAAAGCACCTACCTTCCCAGCATTAGGGTTTTCAACTTTCAATCCACCCTGAAAAAAGTTACATTGTCCTTGTATTATTATTCACATTATCCTCAATTCAGAAATTACAATTAACACTCAAACCTTTTTTTAAAAAAAAAGCTTGCATTTGTATGAACACTTAAAAATAAAATGTGCTAATCAATGTATCCAATGCTACAAGATCAAAAAAACCTTAGCTCTGCCTAGGCTGATGTACTTTAAAACAGCATTAAGTAAAACAGAATTTGTAGTATCTTACTGTAGAAATCACACATCGAATTATGAAGTATATTTCACTTCTAGTCAAATTCAAATAGAAAACAAGATTGCCTTGAAGTTTTCTTCAGGCTTTAAGCATTCTGAAATACTACCCCACGTTAAAAGTACTATATAAATACAAGTTGTTGTTATTGCCTTCAGCATAAACGGAATCTCATTTGCAAATAGCAGGTTTAAAGTACTGGATCTAACATAACTAGAATTATCTGTTTATTTGAATCCTTTATACAGCAAAATTATCACATGTTCTCAAAATTTTCTTTTACCATTTTGACCGGTTTGAGTGACGCGATGAAGGGTTCTACACCACCCCATGCCTCTGGACAAGCATACTGCCCAGGTTCCACCATGTAAGAATTTCCATGATACAAGGGCTCTTCAAACACAAGCCATCTAAGAAACAAAGGAAGTCTTGGATTACATATTTTTATTATTGCTTTGTAATCACTGTGCTAATTGCTATTTACACTTTAATCTATCATAACATTAAATCAAACATCACATTTAAGCAATTAGTTGTGTTCAGCTCTACATTAAACAAAGATTGAATACTTTTTTTTGCCTCAGGATTCATGGTGCGAACAAACAAACTGCAGGAATTGCAACCAATACACAATGAGCAAACAACAAATTAATAATGTCTGTTCCATGTGTACGATTTTCACCCACAAAATATACAGTCAATTCACTTACAGTATATTCTGTGAAGCGCTTTGTGACATCTCAAAGACATGATAAGTTGCTATACCAAATGCAAGAATTATTGTTATTTTGCCCAAGTAAAATCACTTTTCTTCAAAAATTGTAACGTGTATGGGGTGGGAAGGAAGAAATGGTTTAATATCACTAAAATCACAAAAAAGATAGCAGGATAAATGAAAGATAATCTTGTACGTATGAGTACATTGAGGTTGATGCAGTGGTGAAAGAGGATTTAGAAGAAATTTGTAGTCAATAGACTTGTGTATCTTCGTAATATTGGTGGAGTGCTTCATTTATGATTTGGGATTTTGCACACCATTGCTTTCAAATGAAAAAAAAGACTGTAAAAGGTACCTCGATTAAGATGCCCTATTCCAGAGATGCCACAAAAACAGATTTGACTGAATTAGTAATATAATTAGTTAAGTAGGATGGAGAATTTTAAACTTTTTGTGAGCATCTCTGAAATACCTGTTTTTAAGTAAGTCTGCATTTACTACAGATTTTCAATTAGGGGCAACTTTTTCTCCATGCTGACTACTGATTTGTCATAGTACTTTGCTTTATGTAAGACAAAAAGTACAGATGTTAAAAGTAATATGATAGATAATACAGATAATCCTGGAAAGATTGCAGAAAGATTGCAATTGAGCCTGCAGAAATGTAAATGACCAATGAAGATAATAATAATAATCCTTGCATTTGATATAGCACTTTTCACATCTTCTAAATGTCTCAAAGCGCTTTACAGAATATACTATAAAGTGAATTGATTGTATATTTGTGGGCGAAAGATAGGACAAACCTGCATCATTATAACATCAGTTAAAAGCAAATCAATCTTTGATAAGGATTAGACACTCAAATTATTTACATGAAAAATAACTTCTCTCAGACAGATAAAGACAAGTTTGTTGCTTCCACCCAACCCCATGTGTGGTAGAGAGAAATTATAAATTAACGTGATGTGTCAAAACATGCATTATGCAATATAATGATTCATAGAATTTACCAAATCCTTGAAGCAGCGGGTTACACCCTACAAATGACTCACAACTAATGCCACATGAAAGTGATTGGCGTGTAATAAGAAAAAATAAGTACACTGATTGGTAGCATTTCCTGGATTGCCTTGGGGCACTGTGAACGGCTCCTAGCATCTCCGTGCACCAGTCATTCAAATGTAAATTTCTGACACATCAATTCAATTGCTCAGGAAATTCTTGCTTAATCTGTAGGAAGTTAATTAAATTACAAGAAAAATTTATCGTTCTTATATAATAGTGCACTGAGATGCTACCCTGCTTGAGGGGTGCTTATAAATGCAAGCTGTTATTGTTGCTGTCATAAATTGGACCCCAGTGATTACCTTTTATTCACATTTGGGTTTAAAACTGCAGGAAATGGCCAAATTCTGATTTGATTAATCTATTAATGAATCAAGAAGACTTGGTCCCTTTAATATATTAATCTAAAATGCTCATCCAAAATACAAAGCCATTCAGAAACTTTAAAAAAAAGTTACAGTTCAATGTGAGCAACCCACATGCATCATCAGCAGTTATAATGAGTTAAAGTTTTGCATACACTGTTTACCAATATATCAGAAACACAGCATGATCTTCCCATTGTTTGGAGCATAACTATAATAACTGGGTGATTCATCTATTTACTACTGTCTAATACATAATCCAAGGTTTCATAGAATATACATTTGGAGAGAGCAGAGTGGGAGGGGGAAAACTCAGCTAGGGATTCCACTCCTAACAGCTATCTAAGTTATGTTTTCTGGAAAGAAAGTGTTTAGGGCATTAGGAAATGCCACTCAGATGTGATCCCCTGTTCAGCACATTGAGATGTCCTCCTGATGTGAAAGACTCTATATAAAAGTAATTTGTTGTTGTTGGTTGATCATCCTATTTATTGTCTGGGCTCACAACTGCAGAATGCCCATAGGACAAGGTGTTGGGGGCTCAAGGAATCCTTGGGCGCCATATGACAGCAACTTTTTTTTGCTTGCTTTTTTTGTCAGCCAGGTCTTGCAGGGTTAACAGGAGCTGAGTGGGAAGTATCCTTACTCCCAATGACTGGTCTGCCCTTCCAAGTCCAACCAATGAACCAGGCTGATTGGTCTGTCATCAGCAGTGCTCTGGAGTAATGCAGAGCTGCCTGACTCAGGAACTAGGTTATCGAGATTGCCACAGAGGGCTGGCTCGAATCTGACTTTCGGCTGTCAAACAGTCACCTTGGAGCCAATACAGTTCTACGAAGACCCTGATTAGTAAACGTCACTGACTTTCAGAGAGCAGAAAAAAAATTGTCCTATATGTTTTCTGTTCTTCAAAAAACAATAAGATCACATGATTAACTTACCAAGACGCAGCTGAAAGAGATATAGGGGGGTTAGTTGACTTAGTTATCTTTGAGGCGCTTTGAGACGTCTAGAAGACGTGAAAAGTGCTATATCAAATGCAAAGATTATTATTAGCAATATGTTGCCTCCTTGCACCATGTCAAAGCAGGGTGAGGCAGAAATAACCAATAGAAACAAGATGCTGGGCTGTATTGCTAAATCAGTTGAGTTCAGAACTCCAACTCAAACTATACAGCTTTCTGGTTAGGGCATAGAGTTCTGGTTGCCACAATATAAATGAGCTACCCAGGCCCTAGTGTCATTGCAGAGGAGAGCAACAAGGATAACCACAGCGTCAGAGAAGTAATTTATAAGCCATGAATAGACAAGCTAGGGCTCTTTAGTCTTAGGAGAAGACATCTCAGTGGAGACCTTATAGAAGTGCATAACATTTTAGTTGGGATTCAAAAAGCAAACCCAGATTAATACTTTAGGATGCATCAATACAGTGGAACAAGAGGACATAGTTTTAGGGTTGCAACCAGCAATTTAAGAATGGTAACAAGAAGTTTTTCTTGACCCATAGCTAAAAAGCTTTAATTCCTGAACACGATCCAAAACACGTCAAACACATTACCAAACGCTTCATTATGCCAAATATTTTAACATATAGTAGCTTTCTTTGTAATATCACTAGGAATAATCCTTACCATTGTTTATTCATTTAGAGTAAACTGATTGTGGCTTTTGATGCAACTTCCTGAAAATTAAAGTTCTTTTCAAAAAACAAATTTGAAAGCATTCTACATTGTACTGCTGATTTCAGGCAATTATATGCAACTGGAATAGTGGTTATGAAGGCAATTTTTAAGCAGCAAATTGTTTCACTTACATTCCAGAATGTACTTGCATGGACAACGTGGATAGTGGAATCCCAAATGTTGAAATTTTTTCGATCTCGTCATAAAATGTTGTTCTATCTCCCATTCCATTGAATTCTGTAAACAAATCTAGTTCTGTTAGGCTCCAATCCTGTGAAAGGAACAAAAGGGAATTCTTTAGATAATCAAACTTTGTTTAAGATTATTTGACCACTCTTTCACGAATATATGGTTTGAAACATCTCAATCCAGCAAAAGCATTTACTATTAATGGAGGAATTGCAATTTCCTCTTGCAGGTTGTCAATAACTGGATACTTTTCAAATAATTTTAAACCTGACCTACCTTGACTGCTCTTCTAATAGACCCAATAACAGTGGGGATAACTGTGGGCCCTTCCTCATTATTATCCTCAGCAATTTCTTCTCCCCAAATATTTGCCAACTCCACCGCGCCTTCTTCCAGTAAGATCTTAGCCCCTTCAAAATCTGGCTTCTGATAAAGGAACCAACTGTGAAAAATTGTAAAGAATTATAATCAACATTAATATTCTGCAACATTTATTTCATTCTGCTTTTCACATATATAATTTCACTTCATTCATGGTTATGTGTTTCATATGATAACAACAATAATAATCTTTACATTGATATAGCACTTTGTCATGTTGTTGAGACATCTCAAAGCGCTTCACAAGATTTCACTTTGAAAATAATGACGTGAAGACAATGTATTTTGTAGGCGAACACTTCAGTCAATTTGCATGCAGCAATGTCCCACAAATGTCATGATGTGAACAACCAATTCTATTTGGGGGATAGTTGGCCAGGACATGAGGAAAAATTCCCTTTTCTTTTCAAACAGTTATCCTTAATATCCACCTGAATAGGCAGACCTGTCTCCAGCGCTGCACTGGAGTGCCTGCCTAGACTGTGAACATAAAGACCTGACATGTAGCTTGAACCCACAAGTTTCTGACTCAGAAGACAAAAGTGCGCCCAACTGATCCAGGCTGAATATTTCAAATTAAATTTGAGCTGTTATTAAAAGACTTCAGTTAAGTAACTAAAACATAAATGATCTGTTGTAACTACATTGCATTGATATCTTAACCACTTCTTATTGTAATCTAGAGATCATCGCAATGATTGCAAGCATGGGAATTTTGTCCTTGCAATGTTCAAGATACAAATTACTGACCGGCTTAATTGGCACTATTTAACCAACATCACAAATTGTTCAAAAATTACATGGTGTTTAAAAATTTTAAAAAAGGTGCATTTTATATTGCTGAGGCCCTGAAACATCTCAGAAAAATTTCAGAAGCAAATATTGTCAAGTGCAGTGACCCATCTGATCCACTTGAGTTCCCCTCTGAGCCACTTGAGGTCTTACATACAGCCATAAAATGAATGTCCAATTAGTCAGAAAAATTGTTAACCAGGACATAGACATCTTGAGTAAGCAGTTGAAAAGGCAGAACGGACCTCCGTTAAGAAGACTCATCCAAAAGGTAGCACCTATGACATGACATGTCAATTTTAAACCCACAAGTATTTAAACCAAATGTATATGCAGTTGAGAGATCTCCCACCATACTTAGTGTGCTGTGAACCTCAGCAATCCCAAGCAGTGTCTTATCAGAGTCTCGCCCCCATGGGTGAGATAAGCACTTGTGACGTACAGATATAGTTTGAAAGTTGCAAACTAAAGGATTATCTTACCAGCCTCGTACTGTCCTAATGGAGAAGGCAGAGGGCAAATTCCATGATGTAGCATCCTTAACATCATTGAAGATTTCAATTGTTTCGCCACGAAAGTTAGGCTGATTGTAAATGATCAACTGTAAAATGAATTGTGTTACAATCACTCCATAGAGTTTCTAGGAAAATGGTGGGACAAGCTCAATGGGCCAAATGGCCTACTACTGTTACTATGTTCGTTAGCAAATTGTTTAAAAGAATGTTGGTCTCAGTCCTTACCTTCCCTGGCCTAGGGTTTAATTTTATGTTGTTCATCCCAGGCGTCTGTTGGAAGATTTAAAAACCTGTTATTTTTTCCCCCTCCTTTTTGGTATAAATATTAATAGTTTCATAAAGAAAAATAAGTTCAATTGCATATAATTTTTTTTTAAAGTTTCAAGACCTTGCATTTAAACATATAACAATTTGGGGATCATTTTAGTTTTTAACAAATGCTGTAAATGATCGTTCACAAATTTTAACTTAATATATAAAAACTTTCAAACTTCTTTCTCCAGTTATAAACTGCGACATAAAGGCAATCCTGTCACTATAGATGTGGAAATTGAAAAATGGACAAAGGACAAGTCAAAACAGCAAATTGTACTTAACTTAGGATAACGCTTCAGAATGATGGGGATGAACGTCAAGCAAGGGGGAAAGGGGAGATAATCACAGGCAGTTGAAGAGGTAGGTTTCAAAGACAGATAGAGAGTGGGAAAGAGGAGTAAAAGGAAGTTCCAGAGGCTCTGCCACCAATGTAAAGGGGTGGTGATGGGGGGGGGGGGGGGGGGGGAGGAACAGGGCAGCGGACCAGAGTTAGCCAAGGGGGAGGGGGGGACGATCAAAGGAGTGGGGTAGGAGAAGATCACAGAGATACGTAGGTGCTAGAGAAAAAGTGAGAAAAAAAAGTTACCTGATGCAATAAAATTCCACTGGGTTGTTACTAATAGATAAGTATTCACTGCTAAACTAGGATTTGATTGACTAAAATGGGATTTGCACATTAAATAATATCTCAGTACAAACTAATCACTATAGGAGTCTGACTATTCAATACTCTTCCCACTGTGAGCTAAAGCAGCGTAGATGTTGTTCTTTTTTATATTGCTTCAGAGGCATTGAAAAAAAAGCTATGAGACAGCTCAGTCTTAAGCAGCATAATAAGACTATAATCCACAAGACAAGTCAAAACTGTTTAAAAAGAGGTCACATGGTAATTATAAAGCTTATGCAACTCAAAAATGCATAATCATAGCACTAGGGCGGGGGACAAAATGAACAGAAGATAGTCATTGCCACTGTATGAAAGAAGGGTTTTATTCTCACATGCTAGTGGAATAGTTGACTCATAAGCAGATCGCTTGTGTTAATTCCCCAAAAGGAAACAACATTTCAAGGTAGCATAATCTTAGGGTAATCTTAATTTACAAAATTTTTAGCAGTGGTAGGGGCAATATTAGGGATTTTCTGCTGAAGAAAACAGAATACATATTATATGTAGAGAGAGATGTATACACTATATGTATTTTAGAAATAATGAAAAAATTGTATAAGCTAACTGAATGTTAAAAGTGAGGGGCATGGAGGTTAGAGGACGAACACAAAAAGTAACCACAGTATGACAAACTCGGAAAACAGTGCTCGGTTACCATTCTGCAAATGTATAAGCTGAAAACGTTTAAACATAATCGAGGACTCATCAGCAAAAATCATCTTTAACAATATAGTATGTATGAGAGTTATCGGGATGTGGAATGCTCTGCCAAATAAGATGGTAAAAGCAGAGTCTATTGTGGGTTTCATGGAAAAAAAGGCTTGAAGGGGTATGGGGATAGGGTGGAGAAGTGGGGTTTAAGCAAAGCTTGCTCTGAGAGCCTGTATAGACTCAATAGACTCATTCTACATTTTATAAGTTTTATAATTCTATGATTCTGGTATAGTGTACAATTATATTAAACTGATCGCAGGGGCAAAACATCCAGATGAAAAAAAGGAACTACTTTCAGGAGTAGGTTTCGAAGGAATTCAAAAAGTAATGAAAAAGGTTCAGTTTTTTTTTAATTGGCAAAATGCTCCAAACATAGTCCTCCTTAAACTAGAAAATTAGCATAATCGGGAGCGTCTAACAGAAGTGGCTGAAACAATCCTTTCTCTACAGAAAATGTGTAAAAAGAAAGTCTTGCGCTTTTGCTTTCCGTGATGTAAAAGATTTTAAAACGTATCTCAGTGCAATGTTGCTGCTGGACACCAATTTTTGAATGTTCATGGCATTGTGGATATAGATAACTAAGGGCAGGACTTGTGAAATGGATTAGAATCTGCTTTTGTCACTTTTAGTTTGGCATTCAGAAATCTAGTAACTCATGAAACTGATACACCATAAAACTAACTACATTCCCCTGCATTTGTCTGATCCACTGGATAACACTGTTCTATTTTTTTGGTGGGGTGGGGGGGGGGATGAAGTAGGGAAGATTAGGAATTGATCCACTTTAAATTTAAAATGTTCGATTTTAACAGGGTTACTAAGTGCACAGACAGAAAGAGGACATTCCCAGCACAACCACTTTCCAAAGGGATGAGGTAAACTATTTCAAAATCTCTCTTTCCCATAAATAAAATGCCTTCCCACTGCCATGCGCGAAAGGCCAGTAATTTAGGACCATATTGTAAAAGCTAATGCCTTTACAACGGTTGCTCTGCTCTCAACATTATACATTCATTTAACAAACAGCTAGATTTTCATATGAGGGGGAAAGGAATAAAAGAGTATGGGAGAGAGTAGGGAGTAGGTGGAGACTCATGTGGAATATAAACACCGGCATTGACGAGTGCTTTACCTTCTTTGTAAATCTATGTAAACTCAGCAAAATTTTAGATACTATTGCTGTACTGTGGATGTTGGGAAAATATTTCTTTAATGCCATAAGAAAGTTTACAAAATCACTGATCAGAAATTCTCAGAGAGCAGTTTGTCACTTGCGGGGCATTTGTTTTGGAAATCACAAAGCACAACAGCTAATGATAATATGTTCTTTGAAAATACAATAAAAGCACAATTATGCCCCATCAATCGTAAATCAGAATTTTCCCATTCACATCCGTAATTAACTTCCAATTCCTGACTGCTTTCAAACACCATGTTTATCATTTTGAAACACAAGTATGATCTGCAATCTTTCAGTATTCTTTAAAATTAAAACACATTTTGAAAATGTGTTGTATCAAAATACTTCTTTGTGGAGTCACTATTATCTCCCAATTATGGAGGATGTTTGAGTTCCCACTGTAAATCAGCTATAATTACAACATCAACCAAGTAGGTAATTTAACAAATGTATACTTACTATTACTGGCACTTGAGGCAATATAGATATGGGTTTGAAAAGGTCATTCTGAAAAAAGTTTGGGATATCTTGATTAGCGCTCAAATCGCTTGATCCCTGGAATATTGATAGACTGTCAAAAGCATTGTCCTCTATGTTGTCACTGAGATTTGTATTAATTTCTAAATTATCCGGTTTGGGGAAGTTAGGGATGGAAAATCCATTTTCTGAATTCTTTTGCACCTCTGATTCAAAAGTTTTCAAGTATTTTTCCATGTTACTTGGCAACATTCCTGAGCTGGTTGCATTTGGAAAATCGGATTCAAACCCATTAACCGAGTTGTCTTCCACCAATGATGGTGTAAATTTAATGTCCTTAATCTGAGCTCCAGTTGATGATTTAGATGCATCTGCCACAGTCTGATCAATTTCCAAAGGAAACTTTTTACTGTGCAAATCACCACAAAGATTATGCTCCACATCTTTTGGTCGATGTAAACGTAGATTTGGGCTTTTGTTAATTGTTAGGGATTTGTAAACCACGCTTTGTTCTGCAGAAGCACGCTTCTTTAATTTAGCTTTTGCTTCACCTTGTTGCTTTTTAAGAACAGAGGAAGGTCCTTTACCTTTCTGGCTACCTGTTTTCCCTAGACCGAATTTGAAGGAAGTTGGATCAAATATTTTTTTCTCCTTTGGTGGAATAAAATCTTCCTGAATGGGTGGCATTGCAAAAGGCGGCATCAAAGATAATTTGGGAATTCGCTGCTTCTTCTGTGGCAGACTAATGGGACTGCCATATTTGCGAATTGATTCGGTAAAGCTTTCCATGTCAGAAGAGCTGTCCAAGTTACTTGTTTCATTGGAAGAAACATTCACGTTCTCTTCCCCTTGAGACTTCAGCTGAATTTGTTCTTCAGAGGATGGAAAATCAGCTTCTGGTGAACCTAAGATGATACTTTGGCCAACACACTCCTTTGTGAACACATCTTTAATTTCAAACCCAGTGGCTTCAGAGGTCTGTGGATTCTGAAACACAATTGCTTCCTTTACTTCAGCTTTCCAAAGCTGTGATTCAATTTCACTCTGCTCAGGCCAGGCAAAACTACTCTTCTCACGTAAATGGATCCTTTGCTCCTTAGAACTACTTGCCCCAGGTGCGAAGTGAGTGCTGGAAAATTTCTCTTTCATTGCGTTCCTCACTTCCATCTCTTTATGCTGCAATTTAGGAGTGCTTGACAGCAGAGGTGGAATAAGCTCATTTGCTGTAACATCTAGACTGGGCTTTTGCTCAGAAGCATCAATTGTAGGGGCTTCTGATTTAACTTCAGCAACCAAAGATTTCGATAGTTCTACACAGTGAGGCGATATTGTCTCTTTTACTTCATGGTCTACAGTTTGTACTGTAAGCATTCTTTGCTCTTCAGGCTGGGAAAACCGCTCTGCTGCTGCACTGGAGCACTTCTTTGTCTCATTAGCATCACTCCCATGGCTGTCTTCCTTCGTTTTATATACTGTAGAGTTAGAGAGTTCTACAGTCTGAAGCAATGTTAAATCCTTTATTTCAGAGTCTCTATCTTGCAAAGCCAATGGATTTTTTGCACAGGCTGAGAAAACCCACCAGTTTCTGGAACTGGGGTCAATTTTTTCTCACTGACAATCTCTACAGGTATGTTCTCAATATTAGACACAGTGACTTGTGATGTCTTCACTTTCTGAGGCAAAACTGTTTCCTTAACTTCAGTATCTTGACTTTGCATCTTAGGTGTATTCTGTTGAACAGGCTCGCTTACCGCTGCATTTAAGCTAGGCTCTTGCTCTTTTGTACTCTTTGCTGGTATATCTTTCTTAACTTCAGACCTGGTGGTTTCAAATTGTTGCACACTTACAAGAGATATTTCCTTCACTTCCATTTCTTTCTGTTGCAATTCTGTAGAAATATTTGGTAATGGCAGGGCAAGATCGCTTGTTCCTTGATTTATGTCAGTTTTTTGCTTAATATCGTTCTCAGTGGGGGCATTTTTCTTAATTTTAGATAAGTCCACTTCAGATGCTTGCACCTCCATCCTAGATAACGTGCCTTTCTCATGCTCAGCTTGTACCTTTACTTTGTTAGATGTTTCAAGGCTTTTGAAGGAGTGTGTCTGCTTACTATTGACCTGGGTCACGGTGCAATCTGCTTCTTTGGCCACTTTGCTGTTCAGCTGAATCTTTAAACTACCCACATATTTTTTTGTGGATTTAGGAGACAAAGGCAGGTCTTTGGTGGTAAAGAAGTCAACCTGACGATAACTTGTGGTTTTCTGCTTTTTACGTGGCAGAGTAATTCTGATGGTCTCTTCCTCTTCAGTTCTAACATTCAGAGGAGCTCTTTCTTTGTCAAATGTATTGATCGAGGCATCAGATTTATCTTCTGTTTCAGCTACTGGACTGTTGAAACAAAAGATTAAATAATTAATTAACATTATACAGTGAGGAGATTCAGTTTTCTCAACAAAATGTAGAGGCAGAATATATTCCAAAGTTAGCAGTGTTTCTGTTTCAATGCTATACTTATTTACCAGTAAAATGCTGTGATTCTGTTGAGAGGAAAAAGTGCAAAGGAAAACTGAATAAAAGTTTAATCAAACAGGGTTCCTGCAAGTCTTCATCAATAGTCAGTCAGTCTTGGCCCCCAACGAAGAATTGGTCAATTGATGGAGTACTGGAGGATAACCTATGCTTCAGAATGAAGAAAAAAATAACTTGCGTACTTCAAAATGTTGGAAAGCACTTTACAGTAATTACTGCCTACTTGTTTTTGTAGGTAACTACAGTTGTCACAAAACACTAGAAGAAACTCCCCTTTCTTTGTGATGTATGGCATTTCCAGCAATGCAGCACTTCCTCTCAGTAATAATTTCATTGGAGAGGCCTCCAGATTATGAGTTCAAATCACTAGTCAGTGTCTTAATGAGATGCAGAAGAAAAATGAAATGTGAGGAAAGGGGGAGGAGAGGGAAAACAAATCATGTACTTGAAAAAAAGTCTCAGTGAAAAATTGTATTTACTGAAAAGTGCATCTGTGTGGATGTCAGGAAAGGGCAAAAATCGGGCCCCACAGGTTAATAGACGGTTGACACAAGCTGTCAAGACTCATACATGAATAATGGCCATTTGGACAAAGTACTAGAGGCACCTTGGAAAGTAATACAGTAGAAAATAATAAAAGGTGTCACATATCTTCAGGAGAGGAGAAAGCTGCCAGGAGAAATATTGGCAGATTTTATTTGAAACAAGAACCACTGAACATTTTAAATGATCCAATCACCATGAACACATTATCAAAATTATTTTTTTTAAGTTGATGTATAAACGGTATTACAAGCACAAGGGCAACTTTAAGGCCAATTTTACACACACAAAGTTCAAATTACTGTACCTTGTGTTTAATCTTAACCACTAATTGGCACCTTATGTTATGGGCCGGATATTGACAATTGTCTTTCTTGCAAATCAGATCTGCATAAGCACTACATTTCAAATTTGGAATATGCATACAATTAAATATGATCTTTAAGTTTATATAGGAGAGTGGAAAGTAATTTATTGCTAGGACATATTTACTAGAAAACAAACAACAAGTAACTTGCTTCCAAATTATGAACAAGATCTACTCTATTTAGTGTTCTGCATGTAAATGCGGAGTACCATACGAGTACCAACATAAACTATTTTTTGACCTGGAACGCAAATTTCAAGCACTAAATATAATTTATTTCAATTATAAAAACAGAAACTTTTCAGAGGAACCTTTCCACTGCTTTAATACTCAGACTAACTATTCGCGTGAAATCCCCTGCCACAACAGTGTTGATTGTTAATGATCGTATTGATACGGGTCACATTCTGAGGCTCCATTTACTGGATTCGCTTATCTTTTTGAGTCCTTTTACTTTTATTTCACATTATAAAATCTCTGAATAACAATTGCACTTACACTCTTATTTTTGTAGTCACTGTAGAATTAACCTTTGACAGAATAAATTGGTGGTGGCTGCTCCTTTCCTTTGATTCTTGAGTTATTAGCATTTTCAATTTCCAAGGATTTTCTCTTGGCTCTTGTTCAGCCAGACTTCCTTTATCAATAACGTTTGCTGAAGTTTGGCTGCCAGAAGACTGAACAATGTTATGCTCTTCTGAATCTAAAGCAGCTGTATTTTCATTGCATTTAGGTCTTCTATTTTGGTCTAATTCAGTGGATGCAATGTCCAAAGAAACACTGAAATCTTCATTACATGCTACCTTGGAAGTAGGTTCAGCTGAATGAGTCTCTGAGGTCTTTAAAACAGCAGATTCATTCATTTTTTGACCAGAAAGTGAAGCATTTTCATTTGTGGATGAGGGATTCTTGGATCTGCTGAAATGGGTCTCTGAGTTTGACATTTTTACGGAACTTTTTCCTGGAGACTCTGCTTCATTCTCTGTGGTTGGATTGGAAGGTGCCCGTTGTAGTATCTTCTTCTGTGGCAAGGTTGGCCTCGGACTTTCTGGCACAGATTTTTCATTTGAAACGGGCACCTTTGGCGACGTTTTGTGATGGATTGTCGTGGAAGAATCCTGCTTTGGCGACAAAGGACCTTTAACTATGATTTTTGAGGACTGATTAGTAGAGTTTTCTTCATTGTTATTGGAAGCAGTTTCTTTCAGAGATCCCTTAGCTGAGTTAGAAACAGCACTGTTAGGGACTTTATCAGACTGCTGATTATCAGATTTCAGGGATCGCCTCCTTCTGGACTTTTTCGGACCAAATTTGGTTTCTGTAGGTGTTTTTCCATCCATGTTAGATATTTGTGTTGCCAAACTCAATTCACCATTAAGATTTAATGACAAATCAACAGACTCCTCTATTGTGGTTTGATAATCGACTGCAGCAGTAACAGGTAAATAAATTGTTTTCTCTGTATTTGATTCTAGTAGCTGTGAGCCATTCTGATTTGCTTCTGATAGATTCCCTTCAGTAAATTTTTCAGCCTCTTGCGAGGTCGTTGAAATGCCACCAATGTTAGGAATACAAGATGTTCCCACCTCTACAGGCTGATTATCTTCAGCGCCTGTTTGAAATGTGTTTTTCTCGAATGAATTATATTGTGCTGCCAAGGCAGTTACAGATGGTGATTTTACAGGAATATTTTGATGTTCAGTGGAGGGTTCAGTTCCCCTCTTAAGATTTTGTAATGTCGGTGTTTCACTGTCTGGAACTTTACATCCAGAACTATTTGACTTAACAGTGTCCTCGTTTTCCAAAAGCACTGATGTCTTTCCCAACGCGTTTAATCCCAGATCAATACTTTTAAAGGGCAATGAAACAGATTCCTGTGTGAGAGTCACAAATGAATTTTCTTTGATTTCCGAAGTAAGTACTTTGAAGCCAGTCACTGTCTTTCCTGCTTTACTGAGATCGATCCTCTCAATCTCAAACACCTCAAAGATACATTCCTTTGCAGAAGAAGTGACTACAGATTCGAGATTACTTTCATGGTCATATCGGTCTTCAGTTAGTCCAGCAGTACTTACATATACAGAGTCCTTCACACCCAGCTGGCTGGTATTCTGGAGTACGATTTCATAGGGAGTAGCATCACATTCCCCAATCTGATGTCTCTGTATAACGTAACCTTCAGAGAACAAATCTGCAGCTTTAGCTCCTGAAGTTGTTGAATTTTCTTGTTTATTTACCACCGTACTCTCTAAGGTGTTCCACAGACTGTTTCCCGAAGCATTAGCCAATCCTTTTGTTGAGTTGCTGTCAACAGTTGTCAGAGACAGATCTCCAACACAATCGGGTGTGAGCTCCGTTTCAATTTGCTGACTGCTGTGTAAGGTGGCATGTACCTTGTGGCTTTCTGATTTTCAGGTGAAATCAAAGACTGCTCAAGTGGATCGCCGACTGCTACGAACCGATCCTCTTGGAAACTCAGATCCTGAAAATCCCACGATGTCTCCTCCACTACAACTGTCTTACCGTTGGATTCTTTCACTCCTTCACTTTCATAATCCTGCGAAGTTGAAGATTTTCCTGGAGTATCAGTTTCTCCTGTTCTTTCACCCTGGAAAGGACTGAGGTCCTTTGCAGTTGGCGATTCCTCCACAGAAGAATTTAAAGGTACAGTAGGGGAATTTTTCACACCTTTTCTTCTGGTAGAACTAAAGAAACTTCCCAGGTAATCCAACAGTGGCTTTGTTTTTCCTTCTTCTGCCTTTCCAGTACCTGTCGGATGTGACCTTTGAAACTTTTTTTTAAAAGTGGAGGAAAGGGAAGGAGGGGGAGAGAGAAAGTTATTGATTTTACGCCAAAAAAACAGGAGCAAGTTACCAAACTGCTGAGCCGAGCACTGTTTAGCGACAGTGAAACTTCAAACGCACGAAAAACGTTCTGTTAAAACAAACACCGAGGCCGGAAAGTTGCATAATTTTAAAAATAAATCTGACTGCCGAGAGGAATTTCAGGAACTTTCATTTCTGCCGAGGGTGGGTCCCCAGCCCGTTTGTGTGAAGCGCCTCTCCAAATAGAAACTCCTTGTGAAACTCTTTGTGTAACCGCCCCCCCCCCCCCTCTCTCTCACCCCCCTCTCTCTACCCCCCTCTCCCCCTCCCTCTCTCTCTCTCTACCCCCCTCTACCCCCCCTCTCTCTCTCTCTACCCCCCTCTCCCCCCCTCTCTCTCTCTACCCCCCCCTCTCTCTCTCTCTCTACCCCCCTCTACCCCCCCTCTCTCTCTCTACCCCCCTCTACCCCTCCCTCTCTCTCTCTCTACCCCTCTCTCTCTCTCTACCCCCCTCTCCCACCTCTCTCTCTCTCTCTACCCCTCCCTCTCTCTCTCCCCCCCTCTCTCTCTCCCCCCTCTCTCTCTCACCCCCTCTCTCTCTACCCCCCTCTCCCCTCTCTCTCTCTACCCCCCTCTCTCTCTCTACCCCCCCCTCCCCCCCTCTCTCTCTACCCCCCTCTCTCTCTACCCCCCCCTCCCCCCCTCTCTCTACCCCCCTCTCTCTCTCTCACTCTCTCACCCCCTCTCTCTACCCCCTCCCTCCCTCTCTCTCTCTCACACACCCCCTCCCTCCCCCCCCACCACGAGAGCTCAGTGCTGTGATGAAGGGCCGTTTCCTCCTGTAACACCCACATGTGCGCCGCCGCTGTGGCCGCCGCTGTGCTCAGGTGCGCTCTGACCGCGTGGGTGGCGGCCGCAGGTGAGTCTCAGCGCCGCGCGCTCCAGGTGAGAGCCCGTGACGTCAGCCCCCACCCCCTCCCCCTCCCCCCCCGCAGTGTGCAACACCTCCACAGGTAGAGTGGTGACAGCAGGCAATGAGTCACTCCAGCCAGTGAGTGAGTGAGTGAGTGAGTGACAGCAGGGCAGGGAATACAGCAGGTGGACACTCACTCACACACACACTCACACACACACAGGTAATGGCTGCAGCCACAAAAGGCGACGGTAACACCAGCCACAGAGTGAAGACTGTGCACTGAAGGCTGCAGTGGGTGTCCGCGGGGCTCAGTTGGTGGCACTCTTCCTTCTGAGTCAGCAAGTTTTTGGTTCAAGCCTCAAGTCGGGACTTAGAACTCATGTCGTCTTAACAACAACAACAGCAACAAGATTACATTTGTATAAGCGCCTTTCACGTCGGGAGGACGTCCCAAGGCGCTGGACAGTGTGCTTCATTTCAGAAGAAGGTGGGGGGGGGTAAGGGAGGGGAGGGGAGGGGAAGGGGGGGTGGCCGATGGCATGGTCGAAGAGGAGGGTTTCGAGGTGTGACTTGAAGGAGGCTAAGGAGGGGGTGAGGCGGAGTGATTGGGGGATGGAATTCCAGAGGTTGGGGGCAGAGTGGCTGAAGGCTCTCCCGCCAATGGTGGGGCGGGTGGGTCGGGGGACGTGGAGCAGACCACAGCCGGCTGAGCGGAGGGAGCGGGCGGGTTGGTAGGGGGCTAGGAGGTCGCAGAGGTAGGGTGGGCGAGGCCAGGGTGATCCAACTGGCATCTGGACCAGGGGTTAATTTCATCTGGTCCACGAACACAGTGAGTCTGGAGCCCAGACTTGGTCTGACCCAACGGGAAAAACAGAGGCGAGAGGCAGCAGTTAGCAGCAGAACCTGCCAGCAGAATCACTTTCAAGCCGGTAACAGGAGAAGCACAGACAGATACAGACACACAGAGACAGATACAGACACACATAGACAGATACAGAGGCACACACAGACAGAGACAGATGCACACAGATACAGAGAGAGATATAGAAACAGATACCTTGTCTCTGTCTATTATTTTTTTTAAATATATATGAATTTTTACATTGTTTAAAGTTTGCATTGTAAATAAATTCAGTGAAATTAAGTAATACAGTCACACAATTTAAAACATAGGATTTCTATATGATTCTTAAGTTATGTTTCTGGAAGGGAAACATAAAAATATTGCTTAGGCAGTCCACGGATGTTTCTTAAATCCAGCATCCAGCCCTGAGCAGCCAAAAGGTTTGACCCCAAGTTGACAGTGCTACTGCAGTACTAAGGATGTGCTGCATTGTCCTTCAATGAGTTGTTAAATCAAGGCCCCATCTGGCTGTTCAAATGGATGTTAAAGATTCCAGGGCAATATTTGATAAAGGAGGGGTCTTTTTTCCAGTATTCTGGCCAACAATCCCCCAGATAAAATTGTTCATGGCTGTTTATGGAACTGTTTACAGACTGCCGAGTTTGCCCAATAAAGACACAATCACACTACTTTGCTGTATATCTGTGAATCTCTTTGGGACATCTTCCTGATGTGAACATTTTGAAATACCAAATGTAAAGATTATTACATTATTAAACGCTACGAGAGCTTGATCCATAGACCATACAAAAGAAGAAAAAGGTATCATTGAGATTTTTTTTGAGATAATCCAGAAATGTTTAAAATGCATAATTCAAAAGAGGTTCAAGTTTGAACTGTGCCCCGCCACCATTAGAAGTTAGGAAGTACAGAGAAACTAATATTTGGGAAGACATTTTAATAACAACAACAACTTGGATTTATATAGTGCCCTCCACACCGGACGTCGTCTCTGAGCACTTCACAGTAACGGATCCCAGGGCCAAGCCAGGGGGAGTTGGAGGAAGGTGACCAAAAGCGCCGTTGAAAAGAAAGGTCTTCAGCAGAGACCTGAAAGTAGGAAGAGAAGGGGTGAGACGAAAGGAGTGAGGAAGGGAGTTCCAGAGCCTCGGGGCATAGTGGCTGAAGGCATGGCTGCCGAGGGTAGAGTGGAGGACTCAGGGCACAAGGAGGAGGCCAGACCCGGAGGAACAAAGACAACGGGCACTGTTTTGAGGAGAGAGGAGTTCAGAGAGGTAGGGGGGTGCGGAGGAGTGGAGGGATCTGAAGACAAGGATGAGGATCTTGAAATCGAATAATGAATAAGTGGGAGACAGTTTGAGGATCTATTAGAATATTGTAAAATGCTGTTAAAAGGAAGTTTGCAGAATGAAAATGAATGAGACGGTGACAACAAGAAGTTACGTTTATACACTTTTTGTGTCAGGAGGACATCTCAAAGTACTTCACACAATTGACTGAGAGCAATAGTAACTAGGAATGAAATTTCAGGCTGGTTCAGAAAAAGAGAAGGGAAGGGAAACTGGAGCGGGAAAATATTAGACTCATCTAGATTTGAAGATAAGAATTAACAGGGCGAAACCTTGGGCAAGTTTCCTTACTCCACAAGCCTAACAATAATCCCTCCAAAACCAAAAACAATAATA